TTTAGATCAGGAGTGTAGATTTTTAACTTCCCATGCACACATAATGGAGACAACAGTCTCCATAGCTTTGCATTATGGGGGGAGTTCGAGGCGGCTCTAAATACTGGGCATTTCGCTAAGCTTCAGTTGTCTTTAGAGCATAATTTGTTTGTAAGCAAGGATTAATCTGAAGATTCACATCTAGAGTTCCTCAGTGCTACACTCTTTGGTTTACAATCTGCTTAATTTCAGAATGCTTCAGAACAGCGGTTCTCAACCTATGGGTCGCGACCCCATTTGGGGTCGATCGACCATTTCACGGGGGTCGCCAAGCAAGGCTGTCCGCCATTTTCTTCCCCTTTTCTGGTGGGTGCCTTACCTCCCTTGAGCTGGGCCAGCTGGTGGTCGGCCTGCTCCGTCTCTGCCGCTTGCCAGCTACGCCTCGGCCGGCGCAGGGGGCGGAACCACGCATGTGCAGTGCTCCCGGGCAGGGAAAGTCCTGACTTATGACCAGTTTAGTCCTCGACCTACGACCGGTTTAGTCCTCGACTTACGACCGGTTTAGTCCTTGACTTACGACCGGTTGGGGGTCGCAGCATTAAAAAGGTTGAGAACCACTGCTTCAGAAGAATTATGAATTCTTTCAAAGCATATTTTTTTGGTTTTGAAAGTGGAGTTCATCTTTAATGGATACATGCTAATGAGTATTTTATTTTTGTTCACTTAGAATGTATATTTAAGAGTATTCTATTGTATTGGAAGAAATAAATTTGAATTTATAAAGAACAGATACATTTGCACTTACTGCACACAAAAATTCAAAACATTTGAGTTTGCTTCAAAAGGATATACAAATTTTTGCTACAAGTGTGTTTCTGGATTGCAACCTGATTTGTTTACAGTAATATGCAAGCATAATATGCAAAACTAATATACAGTAAAAGCAAAAATGTTTGGTCAAAGAGCCTGTGGCGCTCCAGTTGTTGCTAACTATTATTCGTCTCAATCTTATTCACCATGGCTAATGATGAGGGATACTTGGAATTATAGTTCAAAATATAAGGGCCAGATATTTTTTTACCTTCGATCTAAATAATCACTTTGTTGCTGTAGTATGGCATCAGCTTAACTTTATTTGTATTTATCTGACACTTAAGTTCCACCAATGTTATTGGAATTTACTTCTCTATAGAGTGATATAATGAAAATCTGGTATGCTTTAATAACAAAGCTCATTTTCTAGCTTATATTTTATGTTCTATAATAAAAAATATATTCATGTATTATCTAACCATTAGCTTTGCAGTGAGATTATCTCTTGTTTCAACTTTCATTCCAAGCCATAGTAATGTATGTAAATTAAACCATTCATGCCCTGAGTAGCAATTTTAAAATTTAATCAAACTTTAAATAGATGAATGAATATGTTAAATAGCCTGATATCTAATAGGTAGTTTACCAAGTTATTAAACACATACATGACTAACACGTTTGCAATAAGGATAGCAAGTTGTTTTTTTTTTACAAAAATGAAAGAAACAAGATTCATCCCTTGATACCGAAAAAAATTATATTGGTTTAGTTTTGTACCAGGTCACAGATAGGAGGAGAATATTGAACTGAAGTATGGCGGGAAACACATTGAAAGACAGAAAAGCCTGCTTTCTGGGGTCTAGGAATCTACTACTTCTGCTCATTACAGCAAAATCAGCATTGGAACATTTGCTGTATTGGATAGTATAGAATGCTGATAGGATTCTTTGATTTATCTGTCCTAACCTCTTCTAAGTATCACAAGTCTGCAAAAACCCATCCACCAAACATAGACTGCTGTGATTTGCAGTCATTATGGTAAATGGCTATACTGATAGATACAGCCGTTTGTCAGAATTTGCATCCTCCCTTCTTGTCTGTTCAAAAAGTGATGAGTTTACAGAACTAAAACCAAGTTAAATCACTAGCTGAGTAATCACAGGTTTAACCATAGCAGAATTCACTTCCTCTTTGCCTATGTAGACTGAGGGGAAGAATACAGTAGCTTCTTCAATGGACTTTTGATCTTGCACATCAAAGACCTAGCAAGCAAAAGCTTGATGTCCTGTTCATCTGCAACTCTCCCACCTGACTGGCCTGGAAGAGGAGACAAATGAAAGCAATATGGTTTTTTGTCCAACAGGTCCCTGGTCTCATGGATCAGCTGATCCTTGGCATCAGAGATAGCATTTTGAAAGAGCTGTTCTCTTCTGTCACTTGCCTTCTGCGCACATGTATGGGAAAAAAAGTTTTCATACCAACAAGATTGATGTATACTTTAATGACACAACGAGAATAATATCTGGAACCCTTAAATCCATACTGCTCTCATGACTCCATGTTCTTTCTAACGTTGCCCCTCCTGATCTCAGGTGACAACAGACAGGCCGAGAGTGGTATAAGATAATTATGCCACTAACTGCTAGAGATCTTCCAATATAAAAAAATAAGTATAAAAATATGTATTCTCTACCTCTCATCAGACTTAAGTCTAGGAAATCAGTTTGGGATAACATACTACACTTTTATGATTTAGATGAAGAATGGTGATTAAGATGGACCACTTTTAATAATCATAACCACACACAGATCCAACAAAACCACTTCCAGGAAGGCAGTTTCCCCGAAAAATGTGGAGCCACCTGAATAGAATTAGGACAGGCCATGTCAGAACTAAGGCAAAGCTCTTTAAGTGGGGAATGGCCGAGAGCCCACAATGTGACTGTGGTATTCTGGAACAAACTATAACATATATATTTTAAGAATGTCTTGTCAGGAAATTTCAAGGCACCTGGGATAATCTTATTATAGCCACACTAGAAACAGTTAGATGGTGAGCTTCTTTAGATATTGAATTATACCATCCATCCCATTGCATGCTATAGTTCCATATTATGGTGATTTTATTATAGTTTCATCTTAGTTTAATATTTTATCTCCTATATTGTATCATCACATCTATCTATCTATCTATCTATCTATCTATCTATCTATCTATCTATCTATCTATCTATCTATCTATCTATCTATCTATCTATCTATCTATGCTTTATTTAAACTAAATTTGTATATCAATGATTACATGACCTCTGTAGATGCCATACACTAAATATTGTAAATAAATAATTTTCCTTCCCAGGATCAGCTATTAAGCCTCCCAGCTAATGAGGGCAGGTGAGGTTGCATAGAATAGAGGGAGGGAGAGGCTGTTGATTTCCCCACAATCCCACGATAAGTTCAGCCTCCTCCTCCTCCTCCTCCTCCTCCTCCTCCTCCTCCTCCTCCTCCTCTGACTAGTCCATACCCCCATTACTGGTTAGCTGGCTGGATTGATCCCTTCAAAACCATACTAGTTATTCTCCCACTTCCCAACCTGACTGGTTCTAGAGCACAGGTCTAGGGACTATAGCAGTGATGGCAAACCTTTTAGAGACCGAGTGCCCAAACTGCAACCCAATTATGTAGCGTCGGGTACCGGGTGGGCATGACCCATTGTGTGGGTGTGACCAATTCGGTGGGCGTGGCCAATTCGGTGGACATGGCTTCAGTGGTAACGGCACTGGGTGGGACTAAAAAGTTCAATCAATCAATTCCAACTTTGCGATATCTTTTTTTTCCCCACAAGAATTTGAAATTGATTGATTGAACCATTTTTTTGGGGGGGCAAACGGCGGCGGAAGCCTAAATCGAAAAGATTTTATAAAACCCAGCTGAAGGCCTAGGACTGGGGCGACGGCGCATGTGCCCACAGAGAGGGCTCTGCGTGCCACCTGTGGCACGCGTGCCATAGGTTCGCCACCATGGAACTATAGAAAGACATGCTCAATCTAGCTTAAACTGCTCGATGGACCAAGAGTCTCCTGATTGCAAGCTGGTTAAATGTGCCAATGTGTATTGTTGGCAAAAAAAATGCTTCTTTAACACTTAACCAGCTCGCATCTGGAAAGGACTGGGAATAACATGAAGGAACATTGTAAAATATAGCAGAAGAAAGAGGCATATTGTGCCATGGTTAGTTGTAAGTGCAGAAAGGTCTTATGAGAGCGTATTACTTGCTTTTTAATCTACTTTCCCATCTGGTTTTTCACAAACTGGGAAACCAACACCACAAAATGTATACAAGCTGAAAGGT